CTTTGTCGAAATGCATCATGAACCCATATACAAACGCCCCCGCCTACTGTTCCCTCGCGCCGCAGCGCTTAAACCCGAGCCTTCAAAAGTGACATCCTGGATATCGTAGCTGGGATTTTGTCTGCGCGCTGCCGCGCTCAGCATGGCAGGCAAGCTTGGGTTTGGGGTGGCTTCGGGCCATGAAGAGACTTAAAAGTTGGTAGGGCACGCGAGATCTGGTATTGACAGGTGCGGAAGATGGTAGAATCAATAAGATGGGGACGACCCTTCTGGCTCTTCGCAGTCCAATCTAACAGTTGAATCGGCATTTTTTCATGACGACGACTCAACAGGTCTCTCTGGGTCTCGCTTGCAAAAACGTTCCATGCTCCCGAAATCCTTGGGGCTTGAAGGGATCTCGCCTATCGCTTTGGCATCAGGTCCACGCGGCCTCCGTGAGCGTTCCGTGCGAACGCTAGTGACGTGGTCGAATATCTTGGGCACTCCAGTTTGCATACTGCATCTTGCAGTCATGCTGCAGATTGACAGCTTGGGATCGGAGTCCTTGCATCACCTGAGACTGCGAGGGAACGGAAGTCTTAGAGTTTGAGGACTTCAGTTTTCAATGCGCACGCCGGCATGGATCCCAAATAGGAAATCCTCCAGGATCAAACCCACGTTAGTTGGAGGCCTAGGGAAGCTGCTAGAGCCCTTTGGTGCCGGTCTTTGCACAAGGACTGGTACCGGTCCGTGACGGTCCTGGCTGTATCGGCATGTTTGCTTTGCGCAGCAGCTCGGATCAACAAACCAAAGCACTGCACCGCTCGAGGCATAACAGGGCTGCACATTGCATAATGTTGTACACATGACACCCCTTTGGGTGTGGGGGTGGGGGGGGGTGCTACTCAGTCACCTAGTTCCATTATCTAAGGTTACTCAACAGGAAGGGCCTGTAGCTCTCCGTGTCTTCCGGTTGGACTGCACGGGCATGGCTCAAAAATGGTTGTTAGACACCAGCATCCAAAAAACTCCAAATGTGGATCCCCATTGGTCTTAAATTAAACCTGATCTACTCGACAGTTCCTCATTTCCGACTTCGTCAACCTGGTATTTCAGGATTCGGGCCGGTTGCGCCTTTGTCTTCGTCGACTTAGGGTCTGGTTTGTTCGCTATTCGCGCAGCAATCCTAAGAGCACGTCGCGCCAGATCTTAGGTGACATGTACTTGCAAGCCTCTGATGTGGTTTCCAGAGGGTCCAAGTACCCAAGCAGTGCTTCTTTGGGTCTCAAATACTATACCTGATTGGGATTGGTTAATTCCAAACCTACCATTCCGGCACGTGGAGTTTCAGGTGCCAGTCGCACCTGCATCCCAGTTGACCTGAGTTGAAAGCGCTAGCTGCTAGCTGCCATTCCCGTCCCTATTCATACTCCGATTTTACCTTTCCCAGACTTCAGCCGTGAGCTAAATCCGCATTCCTGAACCCCTAATTCAAACAGTGATGTACGAGAGGGACAGGCGTTGGAATCGGGGTTCGGGCGGTTCACTTTCAATGCGATTCCGGTCGCTGAAGTCGAATCACCACGAAGCTGCCGAACTTGCAACCCTCAAACCTTGAACCCTGCCTCATTCGGCTTAGGGGTTGGGATTGGGGTTTCAGAATACAGGGCATTCAGAGTGTCTCTCATCATCGAACTGGCCAATATTCGAGGACACCATGGCGTTCTTGTCCAGGCACAGGGCAGCAAACTTTCTGCGGATACAGCTGGAAGTAGCGCGCTATGAAACAACCCGGAAATCCAGTCTTGAAGCTCAAGAACCGCAGTGAAAGACCCTAACCGAATGTCTACACACCCAGGCGCTTGCCCCCGAGCCCTAAACCCTAGACTGCGGACAATACGCTGCGGCTGAGGCACCTCGCATCGTAGATACGCTCTTTAGCAAGACGCACTCGGTGGGCTGGCAGACTCCCAAAGAGAGATTCCTGGCCGGCTTTAGGGCATGCGTATGTGTTGGGCTCTCGGGGGCGCTCTGGGATGTAGGGGATAGTTTACAGTAGGGCTTTGGGAGTTTAGAGTTTGATGTTTCGGAGTTTGGGGTCTGTGGCGTGGAAGGGTGTTTAGAGCTTGAGTGTAAGTTAGAGGTTCAAGGCGCTTGCGACATATTTATATTTTGGACTCTATGCACATCCCAGCTACAAGCCCCGAGAGAGATGGGAGTTCTGATATACAGCAGCTGGATAAGAAGTACAGTCACCAGCACGAAAATTTGGAACAGGCCCTTGTGTAAGAGTCCTAGTACCTATGCAATAACTGTTTGATTTTCAAAGCAGAGAGTTTTAGGAGCCTTGACTTACTATTGGGTCTGCCGCACAACAGCGCAAGGGCGGTCGCTTGCGAAGTGCCGGTCATCGGCTTCGGCAGCTTCGCCATAATGCCGAAGTCCTCACCATGCAGAAGGCTATGTACCATCTTCTACGCACATGCATATGTACATACATACATGATGCGTACATACATACATACATACATACATGCATACATACATACATACATATGTACGTACATACACATATACACATCACGTGCATACGTTATACAGTGTTTATGTACTATATGACGGTGTCATATATAACGTGGGATTGTTTACATTGCTCTGTATATACTGTGTTCTTATGAGAACCATGTTGGAATTGCCATCACACACAAACATGAATGGGTGAAGATGATGTTCGTGTATCTGGCACGACTGGGATCCCTACTTCGTGTCTTCTTAGCGCAGTATTTCTGTAGCAAGCTTAGCATGTTGCAACATCCGAGGTCCGGCGCTTAAAGCAGGTGGAGAGATTCAGCAGCTCTTCCCAAGGCGCTGGCATGACAGCCTGAGTCTGGTTTGTGCGTTTGGGTTCAGGGTCTAAGGTTCACGTCAGAGCCGTAATTGGTGATAGGCTTCCCTTGTACTTCCTTATGGTGCGGGTGTCTTCGGCATCTCATAGACATTGTGGCGCTGTGTTGGGGAATTTGGTTGATGGCTTACAGAGCCACCGACTCATGATGGCCCCAAGCTAGTCGAGAAAAGATTCCTGGTGAGCGGTCGCAGCTGCTTAGCGTGAGAATGTATTAGAATTTCTTCAGGTGTGTTGATAGACAGAGGCGTTGAACTGGGGTTTGAGAGTTTGCCATTTGACATCTCGCAGTCTCCAATGTCCCCAAGATTCCTTCTGTGCGTTTCTTCTATGGGTTCGACAGTTCTGAATCTTACACCTGACCTGAATCTCTGCCCCAAGCCCCAAGAACCCTGAACCCCTTTAAGAGCCGTGTAGCATGCTGGGAGGCAAGCCAGGGGACAGACAGCCTAGCTTTGATAGCTAGGGTTTAGATTTTGGCTTTAAGGGTTTTGGGCTGAGAGTTCTGCCTCTAGGATTCTAGGCCTCAAGGGTATTCGGCTTCACCGCGTGTATTGAAGCTCGAACAGCTAGGCGTGCAGTTTGCTGTCAAGGCAAGCGGCTAGCACTGTCAAGTTGACCATCCGAGTCCTTCGAGGATTCAGGGCTTAGTCTATGCCGGAGACCCCAACGGAAATTCGAAGACCGCATGCACACGAAATCCGGAAGCTTGCACCCTAACGCGCTCCGAAACCTAACTCTGTCAAAACACAGGCGAGTGGCTGGGACCATCGTTATGGGCATTGAGGCTCGAACTTGTGAAAACAGATTAGGCCCTAGGCCCGCACTGGAAGCAACAACGGATCAATGCATCCACAGTTGATGCTGCTGCTACTACTACTCCTGCTACTGCTGCTGCTGCTGCTACTACTACTACTGCTACTACTACTACTACTGCTACTGCTACTGCTACTGCTACTGCTACTCCTACTACTACTACTACTACTACTACTACTACTACTACTACTACTACTACTACTACTACTACTACTACGACTACGACTACGACTACGACTACGACGACTACTACTACTACTACTACTACGACTACGACTGCTACTGCTACGGCTACTGCTACTGCTACTGCTACTACTGCCACTACTTCTACTTCTACTTCTACTTCTACTACTACTACTACTACTACTACTACTACTACTACTACTACTACTACTACTACTACTGCTGAGTATTACTACTAACAATAATGCCATGACGACGACTGTTACGGCTACGGCGACGACGTCCGGCTGCTACTTATGTTCCTTTCCTGGCTGTTGCTTTCAAGATGCGATTCTTAGAGCCTTGGGGTCGTAATCCTGCTATTTAGGCTCTTTGGTTGGGGGGAGGCTTCAGAATCGTGGTTTTCGCGGGTAGCATGCAGGATCCTGAAACTCCCAACCACTACGCTGTCAGCCCTGGTACAGCCTCTGAAGGATGGTTCCATGTTATGACATCATCAGGGTGTTTGTCCAGAGCCTCACACCACAGCCCTCTACATGTTGCTTTCTGTGTCATTGCGTGTTAAAACACGATCGTTTTCGTTACGATCTTGCTGCTTCCACCAGCACTCCGGAGACCAACAAAACCCCTAGCGCGCCAAACACCTATCCCAGCCGTGAAACCCGCACTTCCTGAAAGCTGCAGCCTACACCCGATCCTGTCCCATGTTCAGGCCACTGACCAGACAGCTTCGGTCACGTCTCCAGAGGTCGAGGCCTTCTCTCGGAACGTTAGTCGCCAGGCGCGGCCTCTGGGGTTCCGAGGGCTTGTCTAGAACGGTCCAGGGTCGAGCAGAGCAGATGATGCAAACATTTTTTGTAGCCGGAAACCCCACTATGCCTGGGATGCAACAAGAGACTAACAAGTCTCACAAGCCTGACATCTGTGTGTATCGTTGCAACAACAAGATAGAACATTGCCCGACAAGGATCCTTCAATAGGGGAGTACCCCTCTGTTGTAGGGTTTCCTTCAGTGTCCAACACCAGTTGTGTAGTATAGTGGCTCAAAGGCAGAAGTTCGCCTTCTGAGTTTCCCCGCGAAGCGAAGTTGCTGTCTCCGGCATCTTGTGCTCCAGCCATGGAATGCTGCAGAGGGGGCAAAAGGCTGACCCCGCTGGAGCAGCAAATCAGGGCACTTAACTTGGAAGATGGGGGCATCAATGACAGCCGCTGAGCAAGTTGCTTCTAAATTTCCGTTTTTGGTTATGAACACATCTCTACCTTACTTCGTCTCCAGCAGTAGATGGTCTCAGGCACCCTGGGGGCTACCATGCAATTTCCCATGTACGTAGTCTCTGTGCAGCAGTTGCTGAAGATGACGGAGGTTCGACCACACGAGATCTTGAAGGACGATGGCATTGCCATCGAGTACGAGGAAAGCATGGGCGAAGCCGCTTTCATCTCGCATGAGTGGGTTGGTGATTGGCATCCCGACCCTGAGTTCAAGCAGTTGAGAGTTCTTCAGGATGCGCTCAAATACATGATGTTTGACTTGCAGCAAATCCCCGCCGACGTCTTCACAGAGGTCCACTGCAAGAAAAAGCCGATTTCCACGTCGGCTTTCCGAACTCAAGCCCTGTGTGTGTGGTACGATTATTTCTGCTGCCCACAGCTTGGCCGTCAGCCTTCTCTCTCGAGTTCAGACGGCGACCTATCCATGGCTGTTACCAGCATTCCTGCATATGTGGCGAAGTGCTCGTATTTCTTCGCGCTGTGCCCTGTCATTGTGAGCGAGGAGTTAGGCAAGGTCTTTTCTCCTCAGACATGGGCACAGCGGGGATGGTGTCGCATGGCATCTGGACTCCTTTCATTCATGTGGTTAGTTATGGTTACCGGTAATCTCTGGAAACATTCGCTAGCTCTGATCATCGCTGATCTTAGTACGGGTTCCGAGAGCGGCCTAGGAAAGAACCTTCCACGATCTTTCGAAGAATGATGGCTGGTTCATGATCAAGAGCGGTGCAGAAATCGAACTCGTGGCGTCCTTTGGCGGCACCGTTGGGGGTGCACCCGGTTCTGGCAGATTCACGGTCAGCAGTGATCGCAAGACGTTGGCACCAGTCTTGAGCCGCGCGGTGAAGTGCAAGTTGCTTTCCTTGCTGACGTCTTTCAAGCTCCAAGAATACAGAACCTGGGGTAGCTATGGCAATTGTTGCGCCTTTTGCCTGTGCTCCAATGTAACTGGGTAGGTACTGACAAGGTGAATAGTTAAGTTAAAAGTTAAAAAGGTTGCTTCTGCACAGTTCTTATCAAACAGAGAATCTCCGTATACTTTCTAAGAACAACATGTGCTTCTGAGTTTGTGCAGTGGCGTCGAGGATAGTTCAGCTGCTTCCAACGAACTAGTGTTTTTGATTCTCTAAACCTGAGTGAGGAGTTTTGCTGAACATGCAGGAAATCCTTATGAAGGATCTCCCAGCGCAAGACTTGGCTGAGCCACGTCCGGGGTTTGTATCTGCGAAAGGCTTAGATGATGAGTCTGTTGCAGTGTCTGCTTTCATGTATCAAAATGGCTTCGAGCTGGTACAGGAAGTTGACGATGCCGGATGGTCGCCCCTACACTATGCTGCCCTGGCCGGCAAGACATTGGTGGTGCAAGGGTTGCTAGCGCAGCGAGCAAGCCCTGACTGCCAGACGCAGCATGAACAACCTCGCGTGGGCATTGCTCCAGGGACGACTGCCCTGAGCATCTCCGTTTTTGCTCATCACAATGATGTTGCGAAGTTGCTGATCGCTGCAAAGGCTGCGGTTTCCGCAGGTTTAGCTCCTCCCTTGCATTTCGCTGCCCACGCAAACAACTCAGAAGGCATTCGCATCCTTCTGGATGCAGGCTCTGACCCTTGTACCAGGGACTTCCTGGGCCTCCACGCCTTGGCTGCCGGCTGCTCTTTCGGCTCCTTGGATGCGATCGACGAGCTCATCTCCCGGGCGCGCAGCTCCATCCAGCCTTCAGACCTCTCGACGGGCCTCTCATTTGCTTTGGTTGCCTACGGAGGCACAGTGGACGTGGTGCAGAGGATGCTGGATCTACGGGCTGACGTCAACCACTCCTGGAGCGTGCCGCTGGTGCCAAGCTCCGTCTATGAAGTTGTGCAGGCCATCAGCACCCTTGAACATCAACTGGGAAGTGACACGCTTTGGACACGATTCCAGTTTCATGCACCTTTGCATTTGCAGAGAAGTCTTTCGTATCTCTGTGATTGCACGTATGATTGCCTAACTCCATGTCGAGTGAAACACAATTGCCGTGCTTAATGGGTACCTCGACAAACCTAGGCGCATGGTACGGTTTAGGGTTTAGGGTACCTCGACAAACCTAGGCACATGGTAGGACACCCTTGATGGTGGCAGTCATGAGCGGGCAGCATGAAGCCGCAGCCACGCTCATTGCAGCCGGAGCCCAATTGGATGTTGTGAACTCAAGGCATCATGGCGTGGCAGTCTTAAAAATCTAAGTTATACTGTAATATACTAGCGCGGCAGGTGGTAAGGGTGAGGGAGGTCGTATTCTTGCATGATAATGCCTCAAAGTCAAGGAAAAGAGAGTTTATTCGGCATTCATGTGGCTTTGCTTTGGGACTTATGCCCTTGACATGAGTTTTGTTTTAACATACTCATTCCCCTCCTACCTTTCCCAAAATGGGACCCTAAAAGTAGTAGGATCCTTATCATAGGGACCCCAACACAAGGTACCTTCATTTTCCCCTAGTAGGATCCTTATCATAGGGACCCCAACATAAGGTACCTTCATTTTCCCTAAACCCTGAACCTAAACCCTTGCTCCATCAAGGCAGTGCTCGGCGGCGGACTTGGCGAGAGGAATGCCAGTCTTCCTTAGACAGGCCTTTGAGGGGGACTGCGCCGGCTGCAAGAGGTTGGTAGACCTGGCAAGCAAGTATGTAGAAATGTAGTCGAAGACTACCGAGTTCACTCGAATCTTCTCCTTCGCAGTGTGCTTTTCCGTGGCCGTGCGCCCTTCAAACTGAGTGATTGAATGCGTCGGCCTTCACCGCACAGTACTACACAAGTGCAGTTGCAAGGCAACTCATGTCACAGATGCTAAGCATCTCATTTTGCTGCATGTTAAACATATGGAGCATTGGGGGTGAGGGATCCAAATATTCAACATCTGGAGAGTAATCGAAAGGCTTGCCAACTCACACTCGCTGCTCGCATCTTGTCCAGATCCAGACAAGAATGAAATATATCTTTTATTTCTGCGAGAGCTTCATGGTCATTTCAATAGTTGTTGTACCGCTACTTACTCCTGCTCCTAGCGAACTCAGTAGTCCTTTCCCCTGATAATGAATGTCCTCCCCTAAGTTATACACTCCGACCCGGATTTTATATTAGGCGGGAGGGTATTTAACTTACGACCCGAACATTAGAGGGGGTATAAAGGTGGGTTCGAGTGAAATCTAACTGAAACTAAAAACGAGTTGAAAAACACAAACTTAAAACAAAAATATAACTCAGATCGTAAATCAGGAAAAAGCGAATCAGGTGCGATTGAAACCTGGTTCAGACCTAAGTAAGACCTAATGAAAGTCAGTTTAAAATCGCAATTCAAACCAGTTGAAATCTATTCAAATCAAATTAAGATCTAATCGATATCTAGTTATAATCTTAGTCGAACCAGTGAACCAGTTCAAGTCTGGTCATGTAGCAATCTAATCAGAATTTAGTTTTAGCCGGTTCAAAATGGCAAGAAACCTAATTCAATAGCTTTATGTGAATGACTTCCAAGAACACTACTTCAAGAACAGACGAAACCTGGGAAATCAAGAAGAACCTTCAATCCTTAAGAGCCATGCTAGGGATACGGATACCCCTAATTCAGTGATCCGACCCAAGTAAGTAACTTGAGTCTTGGCTTTTTGCAGCTAGTCTTAGGGGCAGACTCCAGAGTCTGGAATTCTGTATAACCCGAATTCTATTCGGGTTTTCTTTTTAGGGAAGGGATTGCTGCATGGTGCTTCCACTGCTTCGGCTGCTAAATACTTCTGGTGCCCTGCCACTACTGCTGCTACCACAACTAAAGGCAACGACAACAACAACTTCTTCCGCCGCTGCGACACCGCCGACGACGACGACAACTGCTAGTGCTACGGCAGTTGCTTCCAGTTTCTCCCACTGTACTTCTGTTACTGTTGTGACCTTGACTTGTACTATGATTTCAATCACTATGTGTATCGTAGTTATGACTCGTACTTTAATCTGGTTATTGCTGACCCTTATTACTTTTGTGATCCCTGCATACTATGGTTATTACGACTACTACCGTTAGATCTAGTTTCGTATCCTAGTTGTTGCTGTTGCTACTGCTATCGTACGCCGCTTTTGCAGTTAATCATTTACCTTGCAACATTGTGGTCGTTACTTTGAATATTTTGCATTTACCACTGCTCATGCTGCTCCTCCTCCTCCTGCTGCTAATGCTACTGCCGCTGCTGCTACTACTACTGCTGCGACTACTACTACTGCTACTACTACTACTACCACTACCACTACCACTACCACTACCACTACTACTACTACTACCACCACTACCACCACCCTACTGCTACTAAGTAGTAGTAGTAGTTAGTAGTAGTAGTAGTAGTACTACTACTACTACGACTACTACTACTACTACTACTACCACTACCACTACCACTACCACTACCACTACCACTACCACTACCACCGCCCTGGTGGCTATTCTATCGGTTCTACTCTTACTGCTCTCATGGCTATGACTTGTGGTGTTGTTGCCACAACAAAGAAAGTACTACTACAACGAGTTTTTGTTAGTAGTAGTAGTAGTAGTAGTAGTAGTAGTAGTAGTAGTAGTAGTAGTAGTAGTAGTAGTAGTAGTAGTAGTAGTAGTAGTAGTAGTAGTAGTATACTCAACCTAGCTGCTGCTGCTCGTGATGGTTTTTTTAGTTGCGCAGCTGTTATAGTAGTTTTCATTTTCTTTTCCATTACTCCTATATATACCCTATCATAATCTAGTAATTTCCAATGCTTTGCCGTTATCCCTAATAACTATTAATATACCCCTGCTCTAAAAGTACCAAAGCCACTGCTACCCCTCCTGCAGCTGTTTGGTCACCCTTGAATTGAACGTGAAGCCCTTGCGCTCAGACTTGTGTGTCGGTGGGCGCACATTGTACAGACGATCCGCCCAACAGGCGGTGCAAATGAGGATCGAATTTTCGCAGCAGAGTTGACCCGCTGGAGTGAGGCGGGTCATCAAATTTTGCGAGAAATAACTGCATTCAGTTCTTGCTTCAGCACTGTTCGTTCATGGTGCGCATGCGAATAGGGAGTATTCTGACAAACCATCCTCGCCATATGTCCACGATAAACGTTGCAGAGGCATGTGTGGGCTTCAAAGGGCGATGGAGACTGATGAGGCACCAATGTCCAGGAACGAACGAAGCGCATGGATTTGGGATGGGGGGGCTTGTCCATGGTTCTTGGCAGAAGCCTTTGACCATGGGTCGAAGACTGGGCCGGGAGCGGGGTGGGTTAACGTCGGATCCGAGGCCCAACGAGAATGCGGCTTCAGCCATTAACCGTCATTAACCATCATGTTTCTATAGGGGCCTAAAAAATTACCGATATTATGGTGAGGGGTTCCTTATTATAGTTATAGCATAATGGGCCCCAAAACCCTACTATTGAGGCCCTTAGAGTATGTGTTCCTTGATCGGTCTTTACTCACCAAACGGCGAAACGGCAAATATGCAAAGCAGTGGACACGCTGCCCGTCCAGAACGCAAAAAACCTGTCTACGCATGGAAATTCCGGCAGCAAGCCCATGACACATTGTGTTTGTGGTTCGTCTGTCTGGGTGCGGGGAATAAACCCTAAGTTGCTAATATAGGGGGCCTTAATAAGTAACAGTTACCTGTACTATTTTCGGGGGTTCCCTTATTTAAGGCCCCCTATGTTAACCCTCCGGGATTGGGCCCGCGGCCAGGTGGGGAGCGATGAGCGGGTGTCTGAATACAAGCCCATCGTTCTCGGTGAAGACCTCGGCTGAGCGCAACAAGAGATCCAGAGCCCCGAAGTGATAAAGGCCTGATGCTACAGTATCGGCGTTCAGAGTTTCGATCGGCCAGTAGAACAATCACGCAGTCTTCCCACCCCAGGCTCCACACTTTGAGCCCACCTTCACTTCTGGCCCTAACCCTCAATAGATCCTTTTAAGGAGCCCTGTAGATCCCTTTCAGGGCCCTATAGATCCCTACAAGGAGCCCTATAGATCCATCAGGAGCCCCAACCGACCGCCCCAGCAAGGCTACTACTTGGACCCCTTGCCAAGTGTACCTGAGAGCATCTTTCCGAAGGCGAGGGCGTTTGCACATGGATGGGTTTACATAGAGAATGAGGAGGTCAGTAGGTTCACAGAGATGCATAGGCAGGTATGTAGATTCAGTGGATAGATGGCGACAAAGAGATAAACCTGGGAGTACCTACAGACACGTGTTTTAAATCGGAGGTCCAGCACAGGAGTTTGTTCGAGTGTTCAGGAGGGCGTCGACATTCGAGATGCAGCAACAGTTATCTCCGGGCCCCACGGCAAACCAAAACCCTCCAGTCTCAGCCTCATGTGCTGGCTCGGTCCAGTATTCTCGGATATAGCGTATAGTACATACTACCAGTGTATAGAGTAGAGTATAGTGTGGCATGTATAGGGTATGGTATACTGCAGTGTGCGCGCAAACCCTATCTAGCCATCAAGGACGCTACATGTTCGATTTCTGAGCCAGGCTGACCTCCTGTCTGCCGATCGTCGGATGACCTACTTGCTCATCCAGCCCAGTACTCAGCCACCTCAAGTTTAAGTTTTCTTGAATTAAGCAGACCCATGATGTGCTACGCTAGCAAGGTCATTCTTTGCCAGCTGGGGAAAGATCCAGAAACATCTGGAATTTCTAGCAAAACTCAAGAAAGCCATGATATGAAGAACTATGCAAAACTATGCAACCATAAAGCACCACAGAATTCCATCCATCAACATTGCCTCAAGATCTCCGAGCACACACATTGATTTTCCACACAGCCAAGCACTTCCTGGGCTGGCCTCTTGATCTCAACTGCCAGTTTTGCTATGAAAGCGTAGACAAGGCCAGGAAAAGGAATGAAAAGAGCTGAAGAGGCTATCAACAAATCTGAAACTGCTAGAGATGGTATTCTGTAGAAAAATTTCAGGAACGTGACATTCCATTTCTCGTTGACTGTGCCCCGAGAACAGCCTGTTTGTG